GGCTGCCCTCTCACTCCGTTGGAGGCTGTCACCACAGACAGCGCGCGGGGCGCTGGTGGGGGGTGGGGAGTGGGACGGTCACCCCGAAAGCGGGTAGTCAGCTCCTCCCTTCTGGACAGCGGTGTGGAGGGCGCTCCCAGGGGAACGTGGGGCTCTATCTGTGGCCCCATGGTGCGTGCCGGTGTGGCACGGCCGGAGGCGGTGCTGTCAGAAGGCCGAGGGACGCTGCAGCCGTGAGTCGTGACATCAGCCCCAGGACCTGACCCTGAGTCGACCTGAATTCTGTCATCAGATAAATGAGTGAGGGACACGCGATTGGTCCACGTGAAGTACTTTAAAGACTTTGTGGAATGTGCAACGAAAGTATGAGTTTATTTGGTGCAAAACCATTTAGAAGCCCATGCATAGCTTCCATAATGCCTATTTCCCGTGACTTCTCGAAGACCCCCTGTGTGTACTCTCCCTCAGAAACCAGTGTGGCCCTGTCTCTCCTCAGTGTGGGGAGGCCTGGAGGCTGTTTCATCCAGCCAGTGAGGCCGAGAGCAGAAGGCCAACTACGGCGTCACGTCTGCGTGGGGTCTGAACAGGCTGACCTGAGAATAGAGTGGGCTGGGGTGGGCGGCAGAGTCCTCTGTCGAGAACAAAGAGCTCTCTCGGAGGCCAGCAGGCGGCGTGGTGGTTAAGGCGCTGGATTCTCACAGGGCGGGCTGGGCTTGCATGTGAGATCTGTAGCTGGAAAACCCCCGGGCACCGTGCATGCCAGGCGTCTGGCCCGGCTCACGCTTCAAAGCAGGCTATGCGTGACTACTGTCAAGATGCAGATTTTTGAGGGCCAGCAGGGGGCGTGGCGGTGAAAGCACTGGGCTCCCACATGACTGATAGGGTGGTTTGAAACTCACGCCAGGCACATGTGCGTGTGTGCTCAAGATCCTGAGAGGAGGAGGAGAGGGGACCGCAATGTGGTCATCCCCCCAGGGGGTGATTTCTCACTTCCCCTCTCCTTGTCTCTGTCTCTCTGGCAAACACACATGCTCTATGGCAAAAACCTTAAAAAAATAAAGACACGCATTTTTAAAAAGTGGCCTGTAAGCCAGCCGAGCCTGCTGCGCCGGTACGGCCTAGAAGCACCCGTGGGAGAGTGCACTCAGTCGGACTCCTAGCTGCACCACACACCAGCGACTTTGTCCCCGTTGAACCCACAGCCTCCCCGGCCATGAGAGGGTCGACGCCCCTGGACGTGGCCGCGGCCTCGGTGATGGACAACAATGAGCTGGCCCTGGCGCTGCGCGAGCCGGATCTGGAGAAGGTGAGCAGTGTCCTGCCCGCGCCAGGCGGCTCGTGCCTGTCCACGGTTCTTTCTGGAGGGCCCGCCCCCGAGTCCCCTGGGCTGCGTCAGAGGGGTGGGTGTCGTAGCTCCGACCGCATTCCATGTCACGTGAATCATGCACTGACACGAGGATTCTCCTCCGGTCACAGCGCTCTCTGGGGTGGGAGCCGACTCGCTGCGTCTGTGTTCGTGTGCGCTCTGTCTTCTCACGTGTGTCTTGTCACCTCTGCTGGCACCAAGGGTGTTCAAAGGTCAGCCTGCCCAGTTCTTGCCCTGCGTGTGTCACCGTTGGGCTCTCGGCTCGGCCATGTGCTGAGGCCCGCGCACTGCAGGGCTCTGTTCCGTGTTGGCCGCCACGCGAGGACACTTCCTGCCTGCCTGCGGCTGCAGGGGCTTCGTGGGGGTCTGCCCTCCCCCCCCGTGGCCCTCAGGAAGGGATCTCATTAGGTCTTTGCCTGGGCCTCCGCGGAGGCCACGTCTCACACGGTGGTAAACTGAAGCAGCCGAGTGGCCGCCGCACCCTCCGGCCCCGTGCCGCCTGTCTTCTCTCTGTGCGCCCTCACTCCACCCCCTTCCCCTGCTGACCCAGGAGCTCCCAGGAGTGCTGCTGGCTGGGGCCTTCGAGCTCCTGCTCCACCCTGCTGTGACTCTAGGCCGTCTTCCTATCACAGCCACAGAGCCGCCTTCTCGTCCACCCTCCGCCTCCAGCTGCTTAGAACTGAAGCTGCGGCCCAGCTCCTCGCACTCGTCCAGGTCCCTCACCTTTATCTTCATCCGTCAGACATGCACGTCCCTGCGTTGTGCTCAGAAACGTGCCTGTGCTTGGCACCTGCATAAGTTCTTAGGCTTCCATATGCGCACGTGTGTGGGGTCTTCGAAAAGTTTATGGGAGGCACATATTACTAAGATCTATGCGTGGATCTCGAAGCATTTTTGCACCAAAATAAATGTGTATTTTAATTCAGTGTTCCCCTGGGCTTTTTGACATACCCTCATATGTACTTTTAAACAAATATATTTTGTTAGAACCTATTTATGTATTTTGAAGATCTGTTTCAGGGCCAGCAGGTGGCATAGTGGTTAAGGCTCTGGACTCCCACATGGCCAGCCATGGTTTCAGTCTCAGACATAGCAGCTTGTGTGTGTGTGTGTGTGTGTGTGCACGCGTGCGTGCGTGCCCAGAACCCCAAGAGGAGAGTGGAGAAGGGATTGCAGTATGGCCATCCCCCGTGGGTGGTGATCTCTCACTCTTCCTCTCACTGTCTCTGTCTCTCTCTAGCAAGCACATGTGCCCTATGGCAAAACCTTAAACGAGGAAATTCGCCTTCTGCCCGGTGTCAAGCGGTGAGGCTGGGTCCTTCTATGCCGAGCACCTCACCCAGCCTCAGGCTGCAGCACCGCGGCTTCTCGGTGCTCAGTGGCTGAGGCATGAAGGGGACCTCCCGTCCTCTGGCCAGTCCAGGACCCTCAGGACACTCTCCCCAAATCACTCGAAGTCCTCTGATGCCCACACATGACATGACCGACATGGGAAAGGCCAGCAGGAGCGTGCAGTTGGCCTGGGGCAGCCGGAGCCCCCATGCGGCGGTCGATCGCGAGGCAGTGGGTCTGAGAGGCAGCACGTGCCCTGGCAGGGCGGCCCACTCCTCTGCTCTCCTAGGAACTGCTCAGCAGATAGGGGATGCCCATCCACACAGGTCTGGACCCGTGTCCACGCAGCTGTGCATCACAGCCTGCTGTGGTGCAGCCAATGTGCAGTGCTCCCCAGCAGTGGGGAGCAGAGGGACGCGAGGTGGCGTGTCCGCCCTGCCAGTGCGATGTGAGAGAAAGCAGCTGGACCCGCTGCACAGGGCACGCGTGACTCCAGCAGCGCCAGCTCCTTGCACTGAGCAGACTGTGGCGTGGGCACAGGGAGGAGTGTGGGGGCACTGGGGGCCTTCGGCACCTCGGGGTGTCAGTCAGTGGACAGGTGTGGTTCTCGGAGCTCACGGCCCGCACACGCAGTGGACGCACTCCGTGCAGGCGCCGTGACGGGGCGCACACGCAGTGGACGCGCTCCGTGCAGGCGCCGTGACGGGGTGCACACGCAGTGGACGCGCTCTGTGCAGGCGCCATGACGGGGGGAGGTTAGCCGCACCGTGTGCTGCTTTCCCACGCTGACTAGGGGGGCGCCCGTAGCCCAGTCTGGGTGGGAAGCTGTTCCTCTCATGGTCTTACAAGCTCTTTAGGGAATTTCTTTCAAAACTGACTCTATTCTGAAATATGGGGGAGGATTGACATTCATTTGAAAAAAAAACAAGAACCGTGAAAAGGTTTGCTCGGCAGGGAGACCGTGTGTAGGTGCCTTAGCGCCCAGAGCAGTAGTGCGAGCGCAGGTGTTCTCGGTGCCAGAAGCCCGGCTCGGAAGTGCGAGTGACTTGCCGAATGATGCAGCCGGAGGGCAGGTGGGTCGGGCTGAGCTGGGACTCCGGCCAAGCCCGGGTCCCTCTGCTTCCCTGTGTCACGCCTGCTGCCCGTTAAACGAGGCGCCTTTTGGAAATAGCGCACTCACTGCCGTGTGTTCACACCTCTGCCCTTCCGTGTCACCGATGCGTTGTTTCCACTCTGGGAAGCAAGTGCTCAGGAGGCATTTCTGAAGTTTGCGGG